AGTAGCCAAATTCGTTATGCTTATTTATTAATGGCCAAACTAGCGATCCCAAAATAGCATCAAGTGCGTCACGGTGTCGGACAAATTTCCCACGCTCGCTAAACGGCCATGCGACCCGACTTTTACTATATAGTGTGGTATATATTCGCCCAAGTGAGGCACAGCAGCATGTCCGTAGTGACAGGCCGAATATTCGCTTGAATTTCACTTTCAGTGGACCACCTGCCAAAAACCCCCCAAGTTGAGTCAACGCTGCGTATGCGTAATGGAAATTCTGCTCGGCCTGGTGTGGGTTTCCAATCCAACCATAAGGCAGAGCAGTGATTGGGATGTCAAGGCAGGGAGACAGCCCAGCTGACAAGTGAATGAACGAGTGTCGGCATTTTGAGCAGCTTTTCAAGCACGATTTGTCAAAGTTTTGTGAATATATTTTGAAAAAAAAGAATGCGAGTGTTTGCCATACAGACCAAGGCGAAAAGCATATATGTTCAATAGATTTATTAAGACACAACCGGCGCAAATGAAAGCCAAAAATGTAGTAATTAAGGGTATAGAGATTATGGAATGCAGCGTGCTACATACATTTCCATAACCATAAACAATTATTCATGCCTTCAGATATTTGCCATTAAAACAATAAATCTTTATGGTTCGCAGATTTCGCATTTGTAACCAATTTGTTAAGGGCATTCCATCTTCGTCATGATATCAGATATATATTCTTGTTTATCTTTCATCGTTTGTTTAAGTGGAAATATTTGGGAATTAATTTTCTTGTTAATAGCCGCATACTCATCTCCTCCGCCTTAGTTTATGTGATCTAAAAGAAATATACGAATGGCGGGCAAACATCCAGTTGACACAGCTGATTTGGCATTTATAAAAATAAACATTATGCCATTTGGCGATCGCATACTTTCGTGACGCACTGTGCCCAACAAACCGCGGAATTCTAATCGAAGGCTAAAATGGCAGGGGGTAAAAGGAATTCAAGTTCCTGGGGCCATGTGCGAAACGCTTTTCGTTTACACAACCGGCCAAAAATACTGTAAATCGATCAAAAGTCCATAAAATCAGCATCGCTCCGCCGTAAAAATAACATGGTAATAGGTGGTCGTACTCACCCAGCAAGATGCTCAGCACCAAGCGCCAAATCCATTTGGCTGTCGTCATTGTTTTTATTTGCACTTAAGTTTCCCGCGATGTACTAGTCCGCAGTCCGCAGTCCGTTTTCCGTATTCCGTGGATCTTGGCCCAGAAGTGAGGGAATTGTTTTTGTTTGCCCGAATAGGCTCTTCCTGCCTTCTGCACTTTTGCGGATTGTTGCTTTTTCGCGGATTATTTTTCTTTTTTCTTTTGGAGTAAACAAATCAAATGGTTGCAATTAATGATCTGAGCTAGGAGCGAGATCGGCTGAATGGCAGGGAACTGCGATGGGGGGCTCTTCTACTGGCCATTTGTCTGAACGATGCACTTTTCCGGTTAATGACCGGTACGTGGCACATGTTGCACCTAGCTGTCCGGGGCGGAGTGGCACATACATGTGCCAGTCCGAAGCTAAAGGGTGTTGGCCTCGCCCGGCGCTTTCTTCTAATTGATATGCCGTGTGCCGTCTGACCAACTTCTAGTCCCTGGTGTAATAACTCATCTGCTGGCGACATATGTATAAATAGCCATGATATCAGCCCGCTTAGGAATTTATAACTTCCGCTATTCGCGGGCTGCCTTTGAATTCGGTTTTCCTTTTTGGAACACACCAATTTGGCAACTATTCTGTTTGGGCTTCTGTTCCGAAGCTTAACAAAATATTCATTTAATTGCCGCCTTAATTAACCATGCGTAAAGCCAAACGAATCGGTCCAATCATGCTGGAAATGAACAACCAAAGCCAAAAAGCGTGGGTGGGATTGCTAGTTCCGAACTTTAAAACTAACCCTACAGAGCATCTATAAAAGGGCAGCAACTTTAAACTGGTTGGCAAACGCACAGATGGCAGTCAAAACTGATTGAATGTGATTGGGAAACATTTGAAGACATCTATATCGCGTGCCAAACTGTCAATAAAACGCAGTGCTCAATTGCTTTGCCATTTGTGTGCCAAAGCAATTTCCATTAACATATTTCTAAGTGACCAAGAAATGGTTTTAATTTCGATGTCGTCTCACTTGTTTCATTTTCAATTGAGCGATTGAAAAACAATTTTACCGCCTGGGCGTTACTCGACTATTAGAGGTAATTTGTGGCTGCTACCATTGTTCACATTGCTATTTTATTGTCTCGGTACTGGCGACAGATATGGCGAATCAAACGCCCCACATCCCAAACCCATTCCCATTCACATACATAAGTAGTACAACCACATTGTGCAATCCAGCCACCGCAATGAATATGGCTTGCGAAAGGCCATTGAAAGGCATCGGAAATAGTGACATTAAATAAAAGTTAAGCAAATTCGCAAGTTGTGGGCGCTGCTATGTTCATATGTACATATGCATGTTCGTGAAAGTGGCAAGTGTCCCTGTAATCCGCCTCCGGCTGGCAATTATACGCTTGACTTTGGCACCAAAACGAGATGATGCTCTAGTTATCGCACTGCTTGATATTTGTACGAGTATTTGCATGTGCATGTGCTGCCAAGTCGCAAGATGACAGAGTGGATTTGGGCCCATAATGTGCATCCAGTGCCAACTGGCCGACTGCCCTTAAATCTTTGTTATATCACTGCACATCCAGTGGGAAGCCCCCGCCATTTGGGGGAATGCAACACCTGCCCTCGAGCTATATTCGGCCTTTTGTTTACATTTCTAATTGGGGAACATTTGTGAATTGGGAGCGAGGTGGTCTCATTTGTTTTTCTTCAACTGCACCGCATTTCATTTCGATTTCACCGCTTTGGCGGTCACGGCAAGATGCCGCTGACTCACACAGAGCACATTGCTTGAGCATAGTTGCCAAAAAAAATACAAGAACCTCCGCGAGCATTTACAAGACCTACCAGATTATTTTGTACTCTATATGTAGGGAGGTGATTTCAAAAATTGAATTGAATTCTGCGCCAGTGCGCACCTTGGGCGTCACGAAGCGCCAGAAACAAATTCAAAATATATTTCACGGCACTTGCAATAGACTGCACATTAATAACGCTTGGCCCACTGCGCGTATGGGTGACGTGCTGACAACGTTGCGTATACGCAGCGTATATCACCGCGTTTGCACAGCCGTTCGAAACAGCAGCGGAATATCAGAATTCAGAATTCAGAATCATCTACCTTTGGCGGTTTCCAAAGACGGACACACACACACACTGTTTCCGTTTTCCTCGGTTTTTTCTTCTTACAAAACGAAGGAGGAGCAAGTCCAAGCGAACCGCACGCGTGTAAAGCAACAAGCAAACTGAAAAAACTTTTTGATGTTGCTATTTTGTTTTTTTCGAAATGTGTGGCAGATGAAAAAGCGCTGGCACACACCCACAGAGCGAGTGCGAGAGTAAGGGAGAGACAGTGCGAGTGAGAGGAGCAGACTAGACTAGCATGCATGCATAGACGATTTAATCGGGAAAATAAGTGCTGGGGGCGAAGGAGGAAGGGCGGCGGAAAATGCGGCGGAAAAGCGGAACAGCTGAGCGAAAGGCGCACGAGCGGGAGCTTTGGCGTTAGACGCTCGCCAGACAAAAGTGCGGAAGAAAATGGGAAAAGGGAAAAGTCTCCTCTTCTCGCCTGCAGCACAGTGGTCGTGGTCGCTCGTCCGTGGATGGTTGGCAACCCAATCCCGGCCATAACAATGGGACTTACAGTGGCGACTTGGAGCGGCTTACATTTCACTTCAGCCCGCCAAGTCGAGCAGACAATGACGTCGTTGAGTCGCTGGATTTCCGAGTGAGCCACTCCATGGAGTTTGACTTAAGCAATTGACTCTTCGATGCGATGGAATCGGGGAAATGGGCTGTCAATTGGTTTTTTATGGCTTTTAAATTGATTCTTTGGGGAGCGACCGAAATTGAAATCGAAATCGTAGACCACTGTGCGGGCGCTTGCATAATCCGGCGTAAACAAATACATATCCGAATTGATGAGCTCTTAATCTCAAAATCGTTTTGTTTATTTCATTCGGTCACGAAGCGAGCGCCTTTTCATTTCGCTCATTTAGCTCATTTACACAGCGACAGCCACTCGATTTTCCGATGAAAAGCGGAGCGGCATCTAAAATTATGGGAGTGCCGACCGAAGACGGGTGGGAGTTCAGCATGCTCTTGTTTATTATGTTGCAAGCGAGCAGTAATCTTGCTGCTCTCTGATCGGCCTGCTCTCCATTTGTTATTAACTAATTAAAAATCGACTTTGAAGAGCGCCGCCCGCAATGCCCAAGTGGCAAATGAGCTTTTGATCAATACGCCTGACAAGCAATTAGGCGTGCGGGTGCCATAGGCTTGTGACTTCTATGTAGTTTAGCCGTAAATCATTTCTGGTTGACCTTTGGGGCGTCTAATCTTGGGCTTTAGTAGGAGAACTGACTGCAAAGCAATCACACATTAAATATTTTTCAAATGCATAATGCAACAGTTTTCCGATGGGTAGTTGTGGGTTGACACATTTGCACCTCGGGCTTGTAACTCGGAGGCTAAAGCATGAGGCTAAACTACCATGGTAGCCTCAAAAAATAAACTTTTTCACTAGTGGACCATCACTTACACAGTTAATATATACTGCATTGTTTTTTGGCAAAAGTTTTATGACAAAGCATGTCAAAATGGCAATAACTTTTGCAGAATATTTTCGTCAACTGTTGCCAAAGTAACGAAAATATTATCGAACATTGTTTAACTAACTAAGCGCCTTGCAATAAATCAAGATTTTTTAGCTGCGGGTCTTGTTCATTTAACTTCACTTTGATCTGCCTCAATTTACCAATGATATGGTTGGCATAAATGTAATATTCAGGAAGATCATGCCAAAAGATATGCAACAAACTTTAGCAAAACCGCCCAAAAGATTCTACACAAATTGACCAATCGAAAATATTTATTCTGACTTCTCATCAGACTCAATAAAAAAGAGCTTAACTCTATAAAAAAGTCTAAATATAAATATTTTTGTCGAACTTTTGCAAATTCTTAGTAGCTAAAGTGCATTTAAAATTAAACAGTATGGCAAATGCTTTCGTTTCAATTCGAGTTTCCGTTTGCTTAGCTTGCAGCTGCTCTCAGTCAACAATTTAGATACCAAATTGAACAGCCGGCCAAAGAAGCGTTCTGAAGTCTTCATCGAAATCTCCGAGTTAATAAATATTTACAGGGCGCCATGGTGTAGGAGAGAGTCTACAGGCATTCATCGGTCTCCTCATTGCCCATAGGCAGAATGACGGGCGACGACAGATCCACATCGAGCAGCTTCATCTGGACATTGTCCTCTTCCTGAACATCCTTGCCCAATCGCTGTTCCTGCATTTCAATGTCCAAAGTGCCGTGCTGCCGTTGGAAGGAAACCATGAAGATGACCAGCGCGGTCACGATAAAGACCACAGCGGTGCCAGAGCTCAGGGCTATGATCATGATGGACCGGTAGTTGGTGGCTCCGGACAGCTGGGCCGAGTGCTCGTCAGCCGAGTTGCTATCGAAGGTCTGGCCAGCATCGTGTGGTGGATAGGAGACCAGCGGAGTGGCGGTGCTGTCGTCGGAAGAGGTCTTTGTCTCATCCACTACGGGCTCGTTTTGCTCCTCCGAGGAGTCGTCATCGACTACTGCTCTTTCAGTTGGTTTTTCATCTGATTCGGAGCTATCCCTTTCTACCGTGGATTCATCATCACCTTTTGAAAATATAAATTCTTTCATATGGAATGATTTCTCGGTGGGATTTTCATCACGGTTGGCCTCGGAAGCAGGCTGGACTGTATGTTCGTTTAGATGGCCCTGTTGAACTGTAACATCTCCCTTGGTTTCCTGCTCCTCAACAATCTTGGCAGCTTCTGTGGTAGCTTCCACTGTTGAGTCAGTATCGTTTACTTCATGTTGTGCATCATCAACATCCGCTGCCTCCACAGTTGCCTCTACCGAAGGAGTGTTCACTTCCACTTGCGCCTCCATTTCCGCCTTGGCCTCAACTTCTGCCTTTTTCTCGATCTCCTCATTGGACTCGGTAACTGACTTAGTGGGTTCTACGGTGACAAAAGGAGCTGCTGTGGTTGACGTTTTAGATGGAGCCTCCTCACCTTCAATGGTGTTTTCATTGATCTCATTCAGGTTGTCGTCGTGCTCTTCAAATTTACGTTCGTCGCGAAAAGTCTGCGGTTCCTCGGAAGGATTCAATTGTTGCTCCTCGGTCACCTCAGGCGCAATTTCAACGGGAGATTGGTTCTCCACGCCTTGTTTCTTGGTCACTTGGTGCTTGGGTTCCTCATATACTGGCGCCGTAGTACTTTCATCGACCTCAAATCCCTCGTGTTCCTGCTCCAATGCCAAAAGTTTGGTATTGGTGATGGATTGCTCAGTGATAGCTTTATCTTCGTTGAGAATCACGGAAACCAGGTCACTGGTTACGCTGGGTAAGGGTCTAATGTGCCTCTCAATTTGCTCACTGGAAACGGCAATGTTATCCGTTACAGCCTCTGGTTCCTCTTGACTCTCCAACCGATCTCTTTCGGTTGTGTTTAAGTCCTCTTCAGCATCAAGGGTTTTGGGCTCGCGAGCGCTTTTGACCGCAACTGCGTAAGCCAATGTAATAAATGTGGTAAAATACTTCTCCAACTGATAAATTAATATTACTCACTTTTAATTTCATGACTTTCAAGCGCAGCTTCCGCAGCCTTCTGAACATCCTCGATGATTGGTTCCACCGGAGAAGGAGCATCTTCCACCTCGATGTTCACGTCATTCTTGATATCCTGCTCCAGATTTCCGCCGTAAACCGATACAAAGTTGTCTGTAAGATCTACAAGATCTGCTAGTTTGAGTTCCTCGACGGAATGAGTTGGAGTTGTTCCATTCTTGATAGTTGTTTCTGGTGTTCGTGAACTATTCTCCAACTGGATTGGTAGTATTGTGGTGACTTCCACGTCATCTACTTCTGCAGGCAGTGAGGTTGACTCGACTAAAACGATAAAAGGAGGAAAACACTTAAGATTTATTTTAAAATTTGATGCTTTCCAAAGATGTCGCGCGAATGGTAACCATACTCTACTTTGTATTTTTACAGCCAGTACACAAGCCTAATGTAAAGTAACATGTAAGAGTACAGTAAGCGCAATGTAAAATGTCAATAAAATGTGAAATACTTGTAGTGCACACGCGAGTTATTTATGGAAACTATAATTATTTATGGAGTTATAAACTTTCAACAAAATAATATTAAGGTATAATAAGGAGCACAACAAGATCTCTCTGCCCAAACTGTATTGTTATATTTAGCTTTTGGTAGATCAGACTTGTTAGGATTAAAGAGAAAAGTGATTATTTCTGCTGCATGGCAAATAGAAACTTCGTGATAGGTTTTCTGAATGATTAAATATACATCGATTACTAGGCTCGGCTTTCTCTTAAGAAACTGAGAACACGTCGCAAGTACTTAACCAGAAATGGAAATAGGCTTGGAAAATATTGAAAGCTTCTCCCTTACTTTCCCCCAAAAAATATCAGAATGCATTTAAAAGCGGAAATTAATAAAATGTATTTTCGAACGATGTTAATAGACGAACCGCTACATTGATAAACCTCCCATTTAACGCGCTAATAAACAAATATTACAACCTTATTCCACACGAGTGCCATTAGGCCTTTTCGATGGGTTCTTAATGTTTTATAGATAGGCATCTTGCTGGATATTTTTCCATACATCCACACGAGCTCCAACATCGATTCGGCCCATTCATAGCCACTTCAAGGCGGCTATCATCGCTGTCATCAGTGCACATTTTCTCACACATTCATTCACAACTGGGTCCCAGGTCGAGATTCCCCCGCCTGGTAGCCAAACGCAACTCGATCAACCCGAATTCTCCTCCAGAGACACATGTACATATGTACGCCCGCGTCCCATTACTCAAAAAGCATGGCCACTTGGACGAATGAAGGAGGATGAGGAATTGGAGGAGGATGGAGGTCGGAGTGATTAAAATTCCAGACACACACAGCAGACACCAAGCAACAAATCGAGGAATCCCAAATTAGTAACCAAATAAACAAACCAACGAGACCGGGCAACCCGCCCAGCCTGTCGCATTGTGTGCCTATAAAGTAGCTGACTTATTTATGAGGGGACATCTATTCCATTCCCCTGCCCCCATCCATGGAATCCCTGTCCCTAAGATGCAACTCGTTTCGTGGAAAATCGGAATTATTAGATGCTCTGCATGAGATATGCATGGGCGGTCGGTCTATGCCCATGCCCATTTTCCATTCCAAATCCCTTGGGAACGAATCGAATGCCAAAGAACAACAAATAGCTACAATAACACCAGAAACTGTCTTTGGGTCTTAAAATGGGACAAAGCATGCCGCAGAAACGAAAACAAAGAGGCGGCCAAATGAGGAAAATGGCATTTATAGGAAAAATACAAGCATAAATCGATTTTCTTTTCGGGCTGGCTACGCAGTTTGCCGCAGTTGCACTTCCAGATGGAAGAAACAGATATATGTATATATATATATTCTGCTACATATAGGCCAGTGTCAGCTGTCAGTCCCTTTTATTCGGGATGGGTGTGCCCTAGGAATTATGTTCCTCGCAGTTTAAGTGAGAGAAATTACATGTCCAGCACACACAACGCAACATGGCAACACGCCGCATGATCAGGGATCCTTTAATTTCGAGCTGGGACCGTTGATAATTTAATAATGCGATATGGGTTTGTCCACCCCGACTACGGAAATTTTATTTCCGCTACCCAATCCCCATTAAACTCTCCCCCGAGTTTATCCCCCAGCCAAAAGGGGAACCGATATCTTCGCCTTATCGCACAATTTGAAGTGTATGACCGCCTCAATTGGCCTGTTACCAAACATTATTGAACTTTCGCACGCTGCCGGCGAGCATGAAATGCAGTTGCCGATGGGCATGGGTATGTATAAGTACACAAGTACACAAGTATGACACCCAAGTGCCACCGTTTGGGGTTTCCGCGGCAGTGGCATAATTACGCTCGTTTTGAATTATGCCAAGCAAAAGCGCAGCAGACAAGGAAAATCGCTATAAAGCCACACCGCATAGAAGAAGACGAGGAGGAGACCCCCAGATATATAAGTCAAAGGCCTGATGCGACCACAGCAGCCACTGCAAGTGATTACGACAATCACGATGATGGGGCCTGGGATGGAGATACCGCTGCACAGCTCCATGGCGTGCCTCCGCCGAGATATACCCACTACACTCACTATATTCATACTCCATACTCACTTGGCTGAGCCGAGCACGAAGCCAGCAGGCAGAAGACGATCACGCAGACTAGCGATCCCAGTTGAAGATGCAGCCCCTTTCTGGAGGAGCAGCTGCTGGCGCGGCTCTTAGAAATACTGGCCATATTGAGTGACTGATTGATTAGGTTGTCGCTCCCAGTTTGACGGGCCCGAATTCAACTGGCCAACACGCACAGGCACAAACGCACACAACCACACACACAGATACTGAATCACCGGGATGTGTAGCTTAAGAATACAGCTGCAGTCGCTTCTCGAGCTCTCGAGACTTTCAGCTGTTGCTACCACTTCGATTTGACTCCGGTTTTCTCGGGGGTTATTCACTACTCATCCGACTACCACGCACCACGACCGAACGCGTTGGCCACTCGCAAAGAACTAAAGTTGAGAACGCGTGCGCTCTGGAATTTTGTGTTGCTGCTGCGGTTGCTGCTGCTGCTGCGGCAGGCAATGCATGTGCTGCGTTCGTATATTGATGACGACGTCGGTCCCTTCTACCTACCCTACTTGCCCCTACCGCCGGCAGATCCATCATATGCCTTTATTTGCTCTCGGGTAATAATAGGGCCTGGCAGGCAGGCGGCTTCTGCTTCTGCTTCTGCTGCAAGTAAGTGGGCTGCCCGGCCCCATAAACTCCAACTCCAACACACATGGGCAAACATGTGTGTTGGTCTGATAAGTGCAAGTGCCTAGCGCCGGCCCCAAGCCGCAGCAAGGCAAACTGAAACCAACTTTTTGGCCCGGCTGTGGCCACTTCAGATCCACAGCGTCATCGTCATCGAGCCCCTCATTGTGAGAGCGGTTGGCAGCCAATTCGCCCGCAGGCGTTCTTCCCCCTCCGCCCACCGCCCATCGAAGTTGGTCAGGTCGGGTTTACCTAAGGCCCTGTGTCCATACCATACCTATACCCTATACCTATACCTATACCCCTATCCATACCTACAGCTATACCTATCCCTAGCCCCATCCCACTGCCCTCGGCCCGGCACTCTTATTGTTTATTTGGTACAATACAAGAGCTCCAATACAAAGGAGGGCAGGAACCATAAGGGTCGAGCTGGCTGGCCTAACCAAATATTTGGTATCACCTGCAATGAATGGGAGCTCGGATTTGTGACTTAATTGGGGCTGTAAGAGAAATCTAATTTCAAAGGGAAATGATAAGATCACCGAGGTAGCATGGGTCAGCTACTCAGAAGTAGAGTTAATCTATATTTTCTGACCGCAAGATAATCGTAACTTGACATACTGAACCAGATACGTAAACGTTTGCCTACCAAGGTATTTTTATGCTTAGGTTTCACTATTATTATTCTAGCATTAGTATCTTTGGGGAGCTCAATATAACCACCCTTAGATAATTCGAATTTCGAGAAAAGAACGTTATTTTAGCAAATCATTTTGGAAACAAAAAATAACTATAAAATATAACTAACTATAAAATAAAATGTTTACTTTAAAGGTGGTTTTAACTCTTCAACAACCATATTTAAAGCCTCTTAGCTGACTACCATTTCAGCAGCTGCAGACTCAATTGCTTTCATGGCGAATCCATATTTTCCCTGGCTAATCATGACCAAACCGACCATCCATCGAACGACAGCTGCTTCGAATTGATTTTCAGCCTCTTCAGTTTCTGTCTGTGAATGATGTGACTCGGCTCAGTTGGCCCAGTCTAATTCGGAGCAGCATCAGAATGGAAAAGAGGTGGAGTGCCCCTCCAGCTTCTGAGAGCTGCGGACCACGGGGGTCTTTCCCGGCCAAGTGACTGAATGGATGATGGTCTGGTAGGTCGACCAACTACTTGCCGGCTACATGGATGTGTGGCTGGCTACATGGATGTCGGCCTGCCTGACAGAATGCCCAAACTTCTCGTACGCCCGTTGTCAACGACATGGACCACAGGGGCTTTACCTACGCCTTTACCTACACATCTGTGCATATATCCGAGTACTATATAGTTGTTTTGAGCTTTTCGTGTAGGCCTTCCCAGCTACATTTTCCATTACGTGATGTAGCCATTTCAATTTCTATGGGCTGCAGTTGCAGACGCTGGCCGGTCGGCCCACTGTTTATCTTTTATTGATTATGCCAGCAGGTAACCCCAGCCAAGTCGGGCCGGAAAATTTGCCTGATGTGAGTGAGTGAGCGGGCGCGCGCCTTCAGATTCAATTTAGTCGTTAAATATTTAGATTTTGTTATTGCCTTCGTGGCTGTGCGGTGGACGATGGATGGTAGATGGTGGATAGTGGATAGTGGACAGTGGACAGCGGACAGCGGACAGCGGACAGCGGACGGGAACAGGAAGGAATCAATTGGTTTCCCTTTGAGTGACCACGCTTAGTCATGACGAAAACGACGGCACTTCCTCCTGAGGCCTAGCTGGGTTCCTTTTGTTGTCGTCGGAGTCGTGGGGAGGCGGCTTTTTGTTATTGAGATTTTCTTTTCAGTTTTATTTGTAGCCATTCGCCTGGTTTTTTACGACCGCCTACTGCCTTGTTTGTCCGGCTAGCCGGCAGTTGTAGATATGCTGCGGCAGTGAGTCAGGCAGGCGCGGGCCAAAGTCGGGTAATTAGCGATCACCACTCAGGTAGGCCCTCCTAGGTATCGCCTCCTGGTCAAGGCCGTCCTCTGCTGCCTGGTTGCGGAGTTACGAACGCATCAAGAAGCCATTAGCAGCGGATTAGCGAGGTGATCTAACGGCTAGCTGATCATCCAACCCGTCACTTTGCCAGGAAGCTGGTGACAGTCATCGGCGGTCGGGTTTTACACACAGCGAAAAACGGCATGGAATGTATTTGAGTAATTACCGCTTTAAGTTGCCATAAAAATGCCTGTTTCCGAGTATTTCTGGCCATTATATATTCATGACTTATAATTATATGTGCTAAATACCAATATATGGTGTACTTTAAGAAATCTACTAAAGATAAAATACCAATAAATGGTGTACTTTAAGAAATCTAAATGGCGAAACTGATAAAGTGGCATACGAATTTGCGCCAAGTAATTAAAGTAAGTATTAATGGGAAATGGTTTTAAAATTAAAACGACTCCATTTTAAAATCGCCTTTCTTTCCACGCTGAGTTCAGTCGCCTTCGAGATTTATGAGCCCAAGACGTCAACGCGGTTGGCAGCGAATTGATGATAAGCGCCCTTTTCGGATTAGATAAACCTCGTTGGGTCGACCGGAAACCGAACCGGCAATTTCATAGTTCCATAGGGACTGGTGAAGAAAAAGCGAAAAATAAAAAACAAAAAAGAAAACGCAACCGAATGCATATCAGAAAGCAGAGCACTTAAAGTGAAACGTCAGCTCATTGTTCGGCGGAAAAGCTAAACGGTCTTTGAATTGTGACCGACACACACCACACCAACCCATCCGATCGTATGCATAATGCAGATCTTGTCCAGTTCCAGCTCCAGTTTCAAGTTCAATACAAAGTTCACACTACGCAGCTGACAACAGTGAATGACTCTGCGGTCAACGAAAGTGATTCCGATTTCGGGGCAATGGTATCTGGATACTCTATCTGGTGTTGAGGTAATTCATTTTGGAGATTGAAGATTTACACTTTCAGTTGGGGAAGATATGTGAGTGGTTTTGATGGGGGAGTTTCACATATAATGGTTAAGATAGCATATTTTGTACACATCAGTTAAGTTTTCAAAGTCAAAGTTTTGAAATTGAATCGGCTAATATCATTAAACAGCTCAGTTACTTGCGGTTAAGTACCGCGCTTAAAAGGGAAATAAACATCTGCGTTGATTAAATGAAATATGAACTCATCACATAATTACCGATGGTTATCCATACCTGTTTACATAACAACTTATACCCTTTGATTGCATCACGCGACTATCACTTGAGCGGGCAAACATTCAGGCCCAAATAAACAAACAAATTTGGCAATGAAGTGCGACATGGAGTATGCATTATGGAGTCTTTAGGCCTCAATTACATAGAATCCATTAGCCGAGTGTGAGCTGGCCCCAACTAAGAAAGAAAGTCTCACGAGGTGGAGATACCTCCGAGTTGCCGCTGGCCCCATGGACCCAGTGCCGTTTGATTGCCGCCTCAAGTGCCCCAAGTTTAATTGTCGAATCCAGTTAGCCAAACAGTTTACTTTATCCATGCGACAAAACACTGTCGCATGTGTCACAATAGGAATTAGCGTAAACTGTTTTAACGCCAAGCAAATGGGCATTTGAGCTGTGAGCTGTAATCATGTGTATGAGCGACCCGCCTTGGGTTTTCCCAACATGATGGTAGCGATGGGATGGGTACCATTTTTGGTCAAGGTAGTACGCAGCGTACCTGTAGCGATGGTGATGTATCCAAGAACAAGATTACAAAATTGTAACTAAATTGTTTAAAATGTTAAGTAATTACATTTATCATAGTTTGCAGATATGTAGTTATATAGTAGTAAATTATTAGGTACTTATTAATTAGCTTTACGTTTCATGTACCATTATCATATTATTATTGATTTTCGTAAGAGTTAAAAGTTCTTCGATCTTACTATCATGTCATAAGTATACGCAAATATCCATCCATCATTCCTCGCTTAAGATAAGGTAATCAAGGCAAGTACCTCCGTGGGTAGCACGGTACACTTAACTGTGTACCCCGCATTACTGGGTAATCACTCGGCGGATTGGTGGGTTGTCCAGTACGTGAGTCGCGGCCGGTGGGTCAATGCCGCCAGTGGGGCAGTGGAGCGACAGAGGTCCATTGATGAAACCGAGTAGAAGCCGTGTGCACAGCAGTTCAGTTCAGTTTAGTTCAGTACCAACCCCTTGCGCAGTTGTTGACGAGCTATTAAAAGGCGATATAAACAAACAGAAAGCTCTCCAGCGATCCGCTGAATGAATGGTGAGAGCAGTGGAGGATTGGCGGACTATCCGTCGATTGTCTTTCAAGTGGGCAAACATAAACACCAGAAGACTATGGACATCCATACCTCTATATCTATACATGTACCCACTACATACATGCATATGAGTGTCTTTTGGCAAGTAAGTGCGAGTACTTGGGCCAGACCAGGCCACATCCTAAATAAGCAGCCGCCGTTTTCATTAGGCAACAGGTTATTGCAATTCAGCGAAAAAAACAAAACAGCGACCGACGACAACAATGCGACGAAAAACCACGTCGCAGCCACAGTCAGAGCCAAAATAAAAAAAATTGTTAAAAAAGAAGGTAAGTAAGTAGCTCCCAAAAAATTATACACTGCTCAAAACCAATTGTCACTTATGAATGCATTGTACGAGTATGTGATGTGCATAACTTTCAACGGCACGTGAGCTGCTCACATTGTTGGGCTTATTGGGAGTATTTATCATTGTTTATCATCCATCTTTTCGATGTGGCTTGAATGGCCAAGACATGTTGGCCCTTTAGCATTCTATGAGGGTGATCAGATAACAAAGCTGTGAGAAGCCAAAGATGTCAATCGGTGATATGAATCAACATCCAGGAATACAGATGGGATACCTTAGCTCGCGAATTATTGTAAATCTTTAACAATGAAGCTATTTTTATTATACTTTTGTACCATTCTGCAAAGGTGGTAGCTACGTACTTTCTTGAAGAAACTTATCTGAAATTCAGTGATTTTTTCAAGGGAATCTTTTATTACTCAATACATTACTTCATTGCATCATAAGCTCTAGGATATATGATTCACCAAAGTTTAGCTGTATGTTGCCCAGCAGTCTCTGCTTTGTTTTCTACGGGACAAGGTCAATTTCACTTTCTTCTCTTGTTCGTTGTTCGGGGCTTTAATATTTAATCTCATCTTGAGGTTGTTTCTGCGCCATTCGCCCACTGTACTTGTCGTTGACAGTTTTGGATAGCGTTCTCTCTTTCGCTAAGCTGTTATAATTGCTCAAATTGCCGTGGCAGCGTGCCAACTGATTGGATTTTTGGGGGGAATGGGTGGGAGAAGGGTTGGGGTAATAGTTGAGGTGGGGGCGGCGGCAGGTGATATTACGCGCAGTGTACGCCGGCGGCCTCTGCCGACTCTGGCTCTTGGATGCGCCGCTGCTCTGGGCGCTCAGGTAACCCGAGCCGAGCCACTGTGCCATTCCATGCAGGTGGCTCACCGGTTGGAGCTCTGCTCCGCCGCCAAGCCGCTCAAATGAGTGGCAAGCCCTGCGAGCGGCGGACGCATGCGCAGTCGATAAAGCACATTCGAATCGAACACTAGCTGGCGGAGCCGCCGGAGACGAGGAAACGAGGAAACGGCACTTCGATTGCAATTCCCATTCATATCCATTGAGGCGGTTTTCGGTTTTCAGTTTTCAGTTTTGGTTTCGTTTTCAGTTTGAATTTCGGCGTTTTTGAAAGCTCTCTGCTGGCACAGAAAGAAAGAAAGAAAGTGCTGTCTTTCGGTCTTAAGGCCGCCGATCCTTGGGCAGCTTTCGTTTTCGTTTTCAGTTTCATTTTCGTTTCGGTGCGATCGACTGCGAACCGGTTGGACTTCTGATCGGTTTCCCAGTTACTTAATCCCAGCGTGCGTCGTTCATGTAACCATAATCCTGGTGACCACCACCATGCCACGGGAGCGAGTGGTGCTGCTGTGTCTGGCGCTGCTCGGATTGCAGCAGGTGTCCAGGGCCACTCTGCGTCAGTCGCGCGAAATCATCATCACAGATGCGGTAGGTGTTCCTGGCCAAGATCGTCGAGTGCAAATGCGAATGGTGATGGAGAGGGGTTGGAAATCGGGATGGGGAAGCCCCAGGTCGGCTCGCCAGCGGAATTCCTAATTAACCAGGTGTCACAACGCACGCGTCGCATGGCCTCCAAATGTCAAGCGCCGAATGTGCCAACAATTTGTGTTTGCATTTCGGATTTTGGACCGAGTGCCTTGCCCTCGCTTCCTGCCTCCAGTTTGGCTACTTGTGGCTCACCTGTTGGTTGTCTTTGATCCGTTGCAGGTGCGGCGCATCCAGAACGACGGCTACAACGTGGAGCGCCACTCGGTGACGACGAAGGACGGATATGTGCTCACCCTGCACCGTATCCCGCAGGTGGATCCCGAACTGGGCAGTCTGCTGCGGCGCCCTGTCGTCTTCCTGCTCTCCGGACTCTATGCCTCATCGGATGTGTGCGTAGTATAGTATACATCCGTTAGATACAATATACATAGATACTTCCGCTTGCGGAAGATATTCATTGGGTGAGCCCCATGCTCATGTGTTGTCATGGGCGAATATATAGTGTTTATGCATGCTTCCAAGACACCCATATCAGTTAAAAGGAACCTATTGTAAGCTATTACCCTCGACTATGAGGGACAGAATAGACGGTAAACCCTTTAGACTTATTTTAACAAAGATCTTTGCGTAACGATCTAATTGGGAGGTTCCCGACTAAATTCAGAAACTAGTTTTATACACATAAATGTTCCTTCATTGTTATCAATGTTCATATTCCAATCCCGCTTTCTTCTCTTCAGGTGGCTGCTGAACGGCCGGGAGGACTCCTTAGCCTACCTCCTTTGGCGAGCAGGATACGATGTGTGGCTGGGTAACAATAGAGGCAACATCTACTGCCGAAAGAACATGTGGCGAAACACCACAGAGCGGGAGTTCTGGGACTTCAGCTGGCACGAGATGGGCGTCTACGACTTGCCAGCCCAGGTGGACTACGTGCTCCGGACAACCGGACAGAAGGCGATGCACTTCGTGGGCATCTCACAGGGCGGCACCGTCTTCCTGGTCCTCAATTCGATGCTGCCGCAGTATAATGCCGTCTTCAAGAGTGCCACCCTGCTGGCCCCAGTTGCCTATGTGAGCAATACAAAGAGTGGGCTGGCCAAGGTCATTGGCCCAGTCCTCGGCACCCGGAACTATGTCTCTAAGATGCTCGAGGGCGTCGAGATGTTCTCCACGAACAAGTTCTTCAAGAAGTTCCTATCGATGACGTGTCTGGAGAACGAAAAGCCGCTGGTCTGCATCAGTCGCCTGTGGCCAGCTGTTGGCTACGACACCCGATTCCTCAACAAGACTTTACTGCCCGACCTGATGGCCAACTTTCCGGCGGGCGGATCGGTGAAGCAGCTGATGCACTACTTCCAGGGCTACGTGTCTACCAGATTCCGGCAGTACGACTACGGTCCCGAGCGGAACTGGCTGCACTACCAGCAACTGGAGCCACCGGAGTACGCACTGGAGAACGTGTCCACGCCAGTTACGGTCTTCTTCTCGGAGAACGACTACATCGTGGCGCCGGCGGACATCTGGCGATTGCTCACCCGGTTGCCCAACGTGGAAGCCGTGTACAAGGTTCCCTGGAAGCGATGGAACCACTTTGACTTCATATGCGGACTGGGGGTCAGGGAGTACATCTTCGACAACATCGTTATCTCCATGAACCGCTACGAACAGGGGCGACGCTGAGGGAAAAGTTCGATGAAAGCCATGATGTCGGCGGAGAAGGATCACAGCCAGAACTATCACTAGTGCCAAAAACAAATTGTAGAATTACGAAACGGAGTCCGCGTTGAATCGGCTAGATCAACCATGGATATATGTACTGATTAAAAAATAAATAATTTATAGTTTAGACCAAATAAAAATCCAAATCTTTTAATGGCTATAATGCAACTTCTTTGTGGTATGTGGTTGTGGGCATTTTTTTAAGCCGTATTTTACAATATAAATTGTTTATTCCATTTTTTAATTTCTTGTGCTATGAACACTAATAAAAAAAAATAGGTACCACAATTATTAAAATTCATTTAAAATTGCATTCATCATGATTTCCCCCTTCTGATTCCTTCTGCTATGCTTATTATTTTCCTCGAAACTCTTGATAATCTTGATAATTGGATAATTAACCATTTCATTTACGTTATTGGCTATCAAGAAGTCCATGTGGTCCCAGGTTTTATCCTTGATATGATGGGTGACCGCGTTAGGCCACTTCCGGGCAAGGTATTGAATGTCCCTCGGAGAGATGGATCCATCGTCATCGCTGTAGAATATATGGATGGCGGAGAGCGGACTGACCCTTTCCAGGTGATAATCTGGGGGCGAGGATTGCCTGTAGATAAGATAGTTCATTGCGAATCCAAAGTCGTATTGTTGGAATCTGCCGGAGTCCTTGAGCTGGAAGTAGTGTTTCGGCTGCCTGGTAGAGATCCCAGCCGGGTGAGTGGCAAGTAACAACGGAATGACGGTCTGGAAAAGATAGTTAATATACATTGGCCTGCTCTCATATTTTCACTCACTCTGTTCATGTGCTGAGATACTTGTCCATTGCTCAGCAGATACAGTGCGTTGCAAGCGGTCCTCAGGCCAGAACTCTTGCACATGCCTGATATCGCGGAATTCAGCGACTTCATATGGGGCATCAACTCCATGTCCGGTAGAAATGTCAAAAGAGGCCTAATTATTTTATGACCCAGGGAAAGGGAATTTTTCAAGAAGACAGGCGGGGCCAGTAGGCTGGCAGTCCGGATCCGCTTATTGTACTCCGGTCTCATGCTGAGCATGACCACCATGACTGTACATCCCTGAGAGTGACCCACGTAGTGCAAAGAACTCTGTTTTGTGGTGGTCAGTATGTGGTCAATAGTGGCGGGCAAGTCCTCCATTCCGAGTTCATGCCAGCTAAAACGCCAAAACTTTAACTTCCAGGTCTTGAGTGTGCGATGCTTCCTGGAGTACCGTGTTCCGCGGCAGTTGATCAGCCACACATCGTAGCAAGCATCGGCCAACAAAAAGGGCAGTCCATCCCGGGGTCCAGTTAAGAGCCATGTGTCCGCCGAGCCAGTCATGCCGTGGGTAAGTAAAACAACTGGCTTTGGCCCGCTTTGACCACACAGCTTTGATGATGGGATTCGGAAAATAGACACTATATAGCCATCCCTGGTGACCGCAGTGTGCGTCTCCACCGGATAGTTGTGACTGGCTATGATGTCCACCTAAAAGGAAAGGGATTACTAACGCGCCCATCTCGACCATCTCAGCTTCAAGGTACTCACCCCGGTTATAACTTTACTGCGGTGATGAATGCGCGGAAGCGTGTTATTCTTCCAGTCCACCTATAAAGCATCTTCTTGATAATAGCCATACGTTATATTCTACTCTTGCACCTACCTCAGATAAGGATATGCTATTCGATAGCCAGACAAAAGAAAATACAAACAATATCGCCAGCATCTGGTATAGAAATGACTGCATTTTTCATGGAAGATTGTAAGAACAGGCCGAACTAATCCGTTTTGTTCATTAACACCGTATTTTTAGAGATTCGCCACTTCATTTCACATTAGTATAAGTGGAATTTAATGGGTATAATATAGTCGTTGAAAAGTATTTAACTATAGAAGCAAGCGACCCTTCAGCGTATGAAGTCTTTCCGTCCATCTATCCGTCCGGGTGTCCGGTCGCGCATCCGGCCGTATGAACGCCGACATCCCAGGAACTATGAAATCTAGAAAGTGGATATTAAGTAAGCGCCAAATCCCGTCAGCTTTAAGTAAAGTCTTTATCTCTGTCTATGACAAATACCTATTCGGGATTTGTTTTATTCTCAAAGAGGTCAATAACTTTGATAATTGGTTCATTGATAACTTTTCCGATTAAGTTGGAGAATAGATAGTCCGTGTGGCTCCACTTTTTATACGCAACGTGATGAAACGTCACTTTGTCCAACTTGCTGATCAGAGTGTGGATGTCCTTGCGCGATACCAAGGGGTCCCCATGGCTGTGGTATATTTGTATGGGCGACAGCGGACGGACGTTTTCCAACGGATAGTCGGGAGGCTTGGACTGATTGTATAGTTTTTTGTTATGTTTGACTCCGAAGTCATACGGACGGAATTTTCCAGATTTCCAGAGTTGCAGAAAGTGCTTTGGCTGTCGAGTGGAGACCGCACCAGGATGCGTTGCTAATATCAATGGTATTGCGGTCTGAAAAATGTATCAAGGTACAATTAGCATGTATTGTTTGGAGGTTGGAATACATTTTGGCTCACCATGTTCATAATCGTAGATGGTATTTCACTGGCTAACAGGAACATGGAGACGCAAAAATCCCTGAGCTTGGAGTTTGCGCAAAAAATGGATAGCACGAAGTTAATGATACCTAATGGGCCAAAAAAACTTTCGTCCTTCAAGCTCATAATGATTTTTCCGAACGTTTTTATTAGTTTGCTCCTTGCGTGCTTCATGAATACGGCGGGAGCCATTAGGTTGGCGGTCTTTATCAGCCGGTTGTACTCCGGCTTCATGCTGAGCAGGACCATGAGGGTGGTGCATCCCTGAGAATGGCCCACGAAATGCAGCGCCTCCTCCTTTGTGGCGGACAGGATGTAGTTGATCATGGCGGGCAGATCCTCCATTCCCATTTCGTGCCAGCTAAAGTGCCAGAAGACATCATGGGAGGCCTTCAGGTTGATGTGGCGCTGGGAGTAGCGGACTCCCCGGTTGTTGCTCAGCCACACGTCGTAGCAGCGGTCGGCCAGCATAAACGGCAGTCCGCTCTTCGGTCCCGTCATCAGGAAGGAGTCTGCCAGGCCAACCAGGCCGTGCTGGAGGAGGACAGGCGGCTTGATACCGTCCTCCTTGCAGTTGTGTGATGAGGGAATCCGGAACATATCCAGAATATATCCATCTCCAGTGCGAACCGTGTGCGTCTCCACCGGGTAGCCGTACGTGTCTATGATCTTAACCTGAAAGAACGGTCTTCGAAAGTGTGCCCCACTTGGCAATTCCACCTACTAACCCCAGTAATCATCTTGAGACGGTAATCATCGCCATGACCCGTAAAGTTTTGGAAGCCAAACGTCACCTTCGGCTTATCACAGATCAACAGCAAGTCGAGGAGCTTCATCAACAACATATTGCAGTGCTTTGACTGGGCTGCTTGTGTACAGATGTTATGGATAGTATAACTAATCCGAGAAATGGATCTCAACTTAGCACCAGCCAATCGACATATCCATAAGGAAGTTCTGCTGCGCTATAATCAAATTAAATACAATAATGAGTTACAATGCATGCACATAACATGCTAAAGATATGTATATACATATCAACAACTTTTCAACACAAATAATAAATAAATATAAATGTGGTTGATTTAAAGCTTCATATCTCAATACCAGAAGGAAGTTACGAGTATAAGTGACTGCTGCTTAAGAAGTTGTGAGAGTGTAAATAAAATGCATTACAGCTTCAAGGAACATTCTTTTATGAAGCATTAATTAAGAAACCTGAATAAACATACATTTTTCGATATGCAAAATTCCTCTACTTATGGATATAGGTCCGGCAGGCTGCACAAACCTTCTGAAGATTTAACTGCCTTAAGAATAACTATGTGTTCCGACAGTAAGTTAAACATTCTTCAGGCTTTAATTAAGACAATTTTTACTACTTTGTGCAAGTAACACATACACTACATACATACATACATACATACATACATACATACATACACACATACATACATAAAAACTCGAATTTTGGATTGCCTATATGATAATTATTTAATTACATCATAGAAATAGTAATAGGTGAATAAATGTACATAATAATACCGAATTATTTTAATATTACTTTATTCTAATAATTACTTTATACTAGAAAATATGTCGTTAGACTATTCAGCATGCAACGTGGAAAATATATTTGATCTTGGACTTTGGAAAACTAAAGGCACCATCTGATCTTTTTTTAATAATATATCTGCAAAATACACATTAAAGTTTTTGAAAATATTATTAAAAATAATAAAAAACAACGGTGTATAAAACAATTTATTGTAGAGCAATGCATTAAGTGCACAAATGAAAGTAACGATTTCTCATTATGGTTTCACTCAAATAATGACTGTTATGTGCATAAAATTGATACATATTTTAAACAAAATTATAAAAGTTTTTCTTTTTAAGCATTGCAAGTGGACTGTGACAGCTGATAAACAAAAAAAGCAAGCAAAACTCAGCATTCTATCTCAAATATGAAAAATTAGTGACGACTAAAAATAAATATATACATTAATACAAAAATTTAATAAAATTAATTAAAAAAAGTTGCAAATTATATCGAAAAGCAATAGTTAGAAAACTAGCTTAGTTGGGGAACATGGAAATATTTTATGTTTAACATTTATTATTTCAAGTAGACTCGAAGGTCATATAAATATACGACCCCATTACAATTGTAATGTCCTCCCTGTGGTGTTCCCTGGGCACCAAAAAATACATATATTACAGATAATTAATAATAAAAATATTTATATGTAAACGGTAGCTAGTTCGAGCGGCGATTTTAACTAAAGAATATTAAAACAACTTCTTAAAAAAAAATAATAGTCACGGCATCAATTTTTAAATAATATTTAGCTCATATTACAACCAAATTGACCAAAACATTAATCAAATTCGTTTCTTAGATCAAAATTGATTTCGGACCGAAAATCGTCTTCTAGCACAACTTTTTTGTTTAATGTTTTCACTCACACAAGCAAGTGAATTCTATTTTTAGATTTTTATGCTCTCAATTTTATGCCGCCACCAAAAAAGTGGCTGCATAGTGCAAACCCAATGTATGGCCGTTACGCATCTTATTATTCTAGTGTCTTAAGTTAAACCTTTTAAAAATTTCAATGACCGGCTTGTTGATCACTTCAGCGACGGTCATGGAGTGCACGAAGTCCATGTGGTGCCAGGACGGTGTGGAGATCCGGTGCATCACCGCCTCCGGCAAACTAGCGGCGAAGTTCTCAACGTCCTCCTTTGCTGCGGATAGGTCATCGTCGCTGTAAAATATGTGGACTGGAGTCAGGGGGTGGACATTATGTAGCGGGTAATCGGGGGGTGTAAGACTCCTGTAGTAGATCAAGTTTTTTAGGATACCGAAATCGAACAGGCTGAACCTGCCGCTGTCCGTGAGCTGGATGAAGTGCTTTGGCTGGCGGGAAGAAACTCCCGCCGGAAGGGTGGCAGCAATCAGAGGAATAGCACTCTGGAAATGTTGATGCTTAGATATATGCCATATATAATTTACTCTATTCGACTTGGATACTCACTGTGTTCAAGTGATCTGAAAACTTTCCGTTGACGAACATAAAAAAGGTTGAACAGTACACCCTCACAACGTAAAGCTCGCAAATTGTTCTTAATATTTTATTCAGCATCCGGTTGTGGAACATAAATTCGCAGTCGGGCATCGACATTATTAAATTCCTGAGAACCATTTGTCCCAACGTGCGTGTGTGGCCCATAAAGACGGGCGGACCTAAGAGGACTGCTGCCTTGACCAACTGGTTGTATTGCGGCCGCATGCTGAGGAGCACCACCAGCGTGGTGCAACCCTGCGAGTGACCCACGTAGTGCAACGCACTCTGATTTGTAGTGGCCAGAATGTAGTCTATGGATGCGGCTACGTCCTCTGTCCCAATCTCGTGCCAGCTGAAGCGCCAGAAGGCCTCTTGGGAGGGATCCAAAGACACGTGGCGTCGTGAATACCGGGTGCCCCGTGAGTTACTGAGCCACACATCGAAGCAGGCATCGGCCAACATGAATGCCAATCCATCCCGAGGTCCGTTCACGAGGAAAACATCCGACGAGGCGGTCATTCCGTGCTGGAAGAGAACCGCCGGCTTTGCTCCAGATTGCTCGCAAAATATGGAGTCCGGTATGCGGAACGCGGTGAGTAAATATCCATCTCGTGTGACCACTGTGTGTATTTCCACTGGGTAGTTGTGGGAGGCTATAATGTCGGCCTTCGAACGGAGAGCGCAGCACTTGCTATAGCTATAATTATTGACTAGAAAGCACTTACAGACGTTATTCCATTGACTATTTGAATACAGGCACTCAAGATGACAATCGGCTTATACGCCATTTCAAGTAAGAGTAACTTACTGAAGTCAAAATATTGCTGACCCAACATTTAAAATTTCTAAGATAGATACTTAAAATTTAAGTGTGCAACGGTTTAACGTAGAGGCTAATCTAATTTGTAGAATTCCTATGAAAAACTGGAACAATGACTGGAGAATGCAACAGTTTGACGTCAAATTTTATGAGATAATTTGTTATTGTCAACTCTGAATATCTGTATACAAAAAAAGAAGCATATATAAATTAGTTAACAGTGTTTTATGCACCTTGATCCCTATAAAAAGCTGATGATCGCCAAAAAAATATGTTTGCTTCCTCGTCATTACATTCTTGCACTTTAATTCCGTCTAGTTATATACACAATTTGTTGTCTAACTTGGCGTCCCGCCAGGAGCGGGGCCCATCTTGAGGTCTATAAAGCGTCGCAAAGCCACCGCCTTGCTGGCCACCAACGAATGGGTTAAATTGGCCAGGAGTGCTTTAGCTTGAGGCAGGTCGTTTTGTAGGGCCATGGCAACGGCCAGATTATACCGCACAACGTTCTGAGCGGCGTCCACCGACTTAAGTTGCCAGTCACGCGTCTCAAAATCGAAAGCGTTCAGTGTGCCCACAAAAGTAGGGTCCAAATGGTCGCGTGCCTCGCTAGCCTTGTCCATAAGCATCAACGCCTCGCCAGCGTACATATGACCCAGCAATCTGGAGAAAAAAAAGAAATACGTTAAACCAAACATGGGAAGATCCAAGAGATCCTGTATACTTGTGTGCATCGGAAAGACGTTCACAGGCCAGTAGTTTTTCTGACATCTCGAGCGCGGTCACATGATCGCCAAGACGCAGAGAGACGAAGCTGTGAGCAGCATATATGGCGGCCAACATGTTTTCCAAAGACTCTAGGCTGACTGGCTTCGAGGGATTGCAGAAGTTATTGTCTTGGGGATGACGCCAACTCTCCTGAGTGGGGTCCTTGGGTTCAGGAGCTTCCACATCTTCCGATGAGACCACTGTCATATGAAACCTCGTCTTGTAGTGTTGCGTAAGGGTAAGTGCGCTACGTAGACACAAGGCAGCGAATTCCAGCGTGGGCTCCGGCACTCCCGCCGACTGAGGACTAAATGTAGGAAAAGGTTACTACCAGCAATGGTCGAAGCTTACAAAATAGCACTTACGCGTATGGCTTTGTTGAGGGTGTGGTTTCTGACTGCGACTGGCGCTCCTCCTCCACTAGTTTCTTTAAAATGAAATTAAATAAAATAAATTACCAGGATTAGAGACAAAAAGCATATGCATTAAACTCCTAACCCTACTTTACAAGAACTTGTGTGGAATTATTTGTCTTACCGCCTCGTGCTCCATGATGCAGGCCTCAGCCATCCGCAGCCAAAGACGAGGATTGCTGTGGAATTGCTTTACGGGTACCAGAAAGCATTGAAACGCCTCCTTGGGGCGGCGCAGGTGCAACATGGCCACGCCGAGGTTGTAAAGGATCTCGCAGGACCGTGCCGAACTCATGGTCTGCAGCGTACTCTGGCGCAAGTTTTGCGCCAGTTGCTGGTCAAAGTTAAGCGCATTTTGGAAGAACTTGGCGGCGATGGCATAGTGGCGCACTCTTAAGTGTATCACTCCCATGTTGTTGGCAATGCACGTGCTCAGCTGCGGCGTTACAGTGCTACAAGTTAAGCAATAAAATATTACTTTTTCTTTTATCGTAAAAATGAAACGGACTTACCCCGCTTGCGTACACTCGTTATTGATTCGCATTAACTGCTTGGCGGCCATCTGAAAATCCTTCATAATGTAGTATTGCTGTGCCTTCAGAGCAGCGTACTCCGGCGTGCCGTCTTCCTGAATAACCACCGGTTTTCGGTTGAGCACGAGCGTTATGAGCTGCAAGAGCTGCAAACTCCCGCCCAGTCCGGTTACAGCTCCCTCCACAGCTGCTCCTCCTGATGTTGCCGCCACTGAACTGTTTGTGGCCGTCGAGGTCGGTGCTGTGCCGACAGCAGCCGCCTCTTCGGCCGAATTGCTGCTAGGCGCTGTGGCCACCAGGTTAAGCTTGTACTGCAAGTAATCCAGAAAGGCCTCGGCTCGGTTTAATTGATTGGTTGCCAGCAGCAGCTGAAGCTGTAGTGTGGCCACCAGCGCTGCCATTGCCTTCTCGAGGGCCTCCAGACGAGCCACCAGAGGAGCTAGTCGCTCCAGCGCCGTGCCGAACATATGGCGGTGATAGTAGATGACTGCACGGTTGTAACGGGCCACAGTGGCAGCGGCTGCTCCCTGCTTGAGGCTCAGGCCGCTAGACGCCTCTCCGGGAGCATCTGCATCGGCGGTTAGGGCCTCCAGCTCTTTCAGCAGGACGGAGTGTTGGGTGCACCCGGTTTTGTAGTAGCTGACCACCGCCCGGTTGTGCTGCAGGACGGGACCACTGCTCTCGCCGCGCGTCCCCAACTCCTGGAGCAGCTCCAGGCAGCGATCGAACTCCAGGCTGAAATGGAGAGCAGTCGGAAAGGAGTGGCGGTTATGGGTGCAATTGCCGGTGACACGCGGATGCCCACTCACTTGTTGAACTGCTCGTGCGCCTGGCACAGCAGGTTGTAGTTCTCGTCCTCGCCGGCCTGCGTTTTGGTGGGAGATTCCGCCGAGTCCATGCCAAAAATAAATAAAAACAAAAAAACCGAATCAATCCACAGATGACACAGCGTTGCCGGAACCAACAAGCGCAGCGCTGCCACTTTTAACAGTATTAAAAATGGTTAGCCTAATAATAAATGACTTGATGTTTCAAATAGTAAAATTATTTACTTGTTAATTAATAAATATTTTAATAAAAAATGTAATTTATTAACCGAATTAAAATATGCCTAATACAAAATTTAAATTTTAAAATGTTCAAATCGGTATTTTGCTTTCGATATATGGCAGCACATCACTAATCTAGTATTGCAGCGCGCGAAACTTAAATATGTATCTATTATCAAAATAAATAACTGAGACTTTTATTTTTGAGAATATCATAATAAGAAAATGCGATATGAACTGTAACGAAGAGTCCCTAATCCAATTATCGTTTTTAACTATGTGATCCACCACGACGCCCATTTGTAAGTAATTATACTTTAGGAAATCCGGTGCATCTCAACAAAATGTCCACTTGAAGCATGTTGTTATGAATCTTCGCCTGGCCCCATGTACACGTCCATTAATTCATCCATCGTCAACCACTATTCTGTACACAACTCCTCTTACAGATCCGGATGACAGTTCTCATCAGAATTAACCATATTAAACCATAATGTGCAACTTCGGCTTCATTTTCGGACCATCCTCCAGACAGTCAAATAAATTCAAATATTTTTCAATTATTTTAATTTGATTCGAAGTACAATATTATTCACTAAACTGTTTCAAAATATTCAATAATTTGCATACACATACAAGGGATGGATTTAGGGGTCAGGATGGCTCCCTTATTTTATTTGCTGCTTCATTACCGCTGCAATGGTTCAAAACGAAGAAACTGAGGATCGGGAAAATGGGAGGGGCAGCTCCTACTTTCGAGACTCATTTAGCGAGGGCGTGGTAGGCATGTCTTATGTACACTATTCGTAAATATCTGTATTGTATATATAATATATGTGTATGTATATTGTTATGTATACCATATAAACTTGAATTTAGCATTAAAAATTCCCAATGCTGGTTTTAACTAATCCCCGGGGGGTGAGAGGGGCTCAACATTAACTGAGCAGCAGCACTTCCCTGCCTCTTATCGCGTCGCATAACAGATCCCTTTACTCCAACCTACATCATCGCTCCTCTGCTCCATACTCCTTCAATTTGGCCAAGCACACGCATTCACATGGTTTCCCTAAAGATTTCGTAGCGGGTTTGTTCGTTCGAGTTTTTGCTTCATTGCATTGCTATGGTTATGGGGTTTCGATTGCTCCGGATTATGCTGCTTATGTGTTGCGAATCTTGCCGGGAACGTAGTTCTTATCTATGACGTTTTCCTGGAGGAACATATGCAGACAGCGCTCGTTTTGCGCCAGCGGATGTCCGGCTATCTTGTTAATAAAGGCCTCCAGTCCCTTGCGTCGCTCCTCGATGAAGCTTTCGTCGAAGATGCCCTCGTCGCCGCGGAAGGGCATCTGCCGCTTCCAGGCCTTTCCTGGGAGTGGAGGCACCACAATCTGCGGGGATTGGTACATGATTAAATACTCTTTATGCGCCTATCGAAGATTCCGTTTTCACTTATAAAGCTAACGTTTGAGTTCCTTCTTAGGTATTATTACTTTTCTAGTGGCTTCTTAGAGATGCCAAAGTATTTCCTAAAATGGTGATTCTACCTACATTCTCGCAGCTAACAAAGTAAATTGAATCCGACTGTTGCGGTAAAATAATTTATATAACTCTAAGATTTTGCCATTATTAGAGATTTAAGCAAATATAATGAGCCGGATAAAGTTTCTAACGGAAGTTGCTTAAGAACCCTACTAAAGTGAAAACGGAGGACTTCCGGCTGGATCCCACTTTTCCGCACCTTGCTGTCCCGCTCCAGTTCGTTCCGCAGCCACTCGAAGTCGCTGTAGCGTCGCCTCACACTGGACTCCTTAACCTTGAAGACGGGCAGATTGGTCTGGAAAGCAACGATGGTTAATCAGATGTAATGGCCAATCTCAAAGAGCAATTCAATGAAAGGACGGTGCCGAATTAAGGTACCCGCATGCCACATTTCCGTGACTCAAGCCCCGAATCAGTGCTCTGCACTTGTGACTAATGTTTATCGTCCGGCTCGCTTTATAGGCGTATCACCCGCACTGACACACATGCACAGTAAACCAAAGTCGCACGAACACATGTACACAAGTGTGTGAGCGAATTCCAGCGATTATCAATGGTTTTTTGGTGAATTTTGGAAGGTGCATATGTAGGTGCTGGCCCCATGTACTCCGATCACTCACCCGCATTCGGACCTCGTAGTCCGTGTAGCGCTTCTTGCCCGCCGCCATGGTGGTCAGCGGATTGACCACGTCGATCTCCAGGAAGTTGGCGGGCACGGCGTACGCATCGTCCAGCGTTTGCTTCTTCACGTTCAGGCGGCGGGTGGCGTCGGCGGTTCCATCGGACTCAACCATCATAGTGGTGCAATGCCAGGGGCTCCGGATCGGCAGAGATATAGACGCCCCTTTTATCGGTAGCAAGAAACGGGTTTTGCACTGGCTATCTTTCTTTGTGTACTCCCTTGTCTTGGATCGCTGCCTCCGATGTCCCGGATTCTGGTTCTTTGATATCGCTGTCCCCGAGCAGTAATCTGCTTTACTTTCTGCGTGTCCAACTGCCGCAGCGGGTAAACAACTTTGTAATTTAATTAAAATTGTTCCATTAAAAAAACTTTCCAATAATTAACAGAACTGAGCTGTGTGAGTTAACAGTAGGGATGGTACATGTCAATGCTTCCAAATGTATCGATAACATACGGCAATATGGCAGCACTCTTTGGGTGGAAAACATGGCTAACTCCAGTGTGGGTAAATCCTGTAAGCAAACTTGTGAGGGTGGAGCTGCCATACCGGCCAGTACTACACCGGTTCATTCGATAACACACGACAGTATGGCAGCCTTACCGTGGTGTGGAACTTCACTAAATGCCAATACAACCAACCAGTGCTGATAAAGGCAGAAACAGAATGTTCCTAACGCGTGTCAGGTCATGTGACGGCACGTGACGTCACAGCAGATTCACATTCAGCAATACTTTCAGTTCCAGGGCAATTTTTCATCGTACTCGCAACGACTTCGCAGGCCAAAATTTTGCGTGTGTGTCGCTCAGTACTGTTTCGTAGCTGAAAAATTGTACGTGTTTGTAGAAGACATCGTCTGCATAGTGGCTAATAGCTAAAATCGTATCTACTTGCAGCTCGAAATTTGCAGTGCACTTTTAAGGTAGAGGCGCAGAAAAAGTCTATCCAAGATGAACGCCCAACAAGCCCAGCGGGAACATGTCCTCGCCGTATCCCGGGACTTTATCTCCCAGCCCCGCTTGAGTGAGTAAACCCTCGGAATTTGCAAATTAGTGAAAAATCAAGAAATGCATTCGCAACCCAATCAAGTGACAGAAAAAACCCAATAAGAAAACGCCAAGAAAGTCCGCCATGACAGTTTGCACGAATCTGGTGTGAGGCGGAGTAGAGAAAAGAAATCAATAAATTCTTGCGACACCCACAAAAAAAAAACAGAATACCCAACGTAACAGATAATTTCTTTAGAATAGTATTTCATATTGAGCCTAAAATGTTCTACGCTGATCAGACAGTAATGGGGAGCACCCCGTAATCTTGGTTAACGCTTATTGAAAATTTTCGCCGTCACATGACCGTTCGCTGCTCAGCTGTTTGCGTTTGCCATTCAAAGCAGAACGCACACACTCAAAGGCACCTGACTGCGAACGGGGTGGGTGGCAGAACGGACGATAGCTCGGTCGGTCGGCAATTTTAACTACTTTTTATTAATGGATGAAATTTCAATCTCATATTTATTTTGGCACAATTCATATGTCAAAGTAGTGGCCATTGTAGATAAATAATTATATGTAGTGACAATGTTTTATAGAGAAGTGTTGCATAAAAATCCAGCTTGCCAATTAACGCATTTTTTCTTTATCTTTAGTGCATTCATTCCCCTTTATCTATCTAATTCCTATGAGATTCCCACTGCAGCTCGTGGCAAGGGCTGAAAACCAGTTGGAGAGTCAGCTGACACAATTTACCCTCCCAGTCAACACCCCCCTCGCGCCATCACTTCTTTTGACGTTTGCTTTCTTATCAGATTCCGACTTTCATGTGAGCATTGCGCGACTCGTGTTTTTGTTGGAACTATATCTAATTGGAAGACGATGTGCTGCAAAGAAATATTATTTAAACTTCGAGTTTATTGGAAAAAAAAGAGATGAACAGAGAAAGAAATATTTCGTTGCCCTTCAAGTTTATCTTCTCCAATGGCATTTATGGAATAATAGTGTCAGAATAAATAAACCCATTTTTATGATAAATTCAGTAATTTAATTAATGACCAATGCCCATTATTGTTATGAAACAGCAATATTTAGCGAGGGGCTTTGGTTTTTAAAGAATTAACCAAAGTATTTTAATATTGGATATTGTTTAAGAGTAATAAATCATGAATATAATATTAACTACTGTCAGTTAATTGATTTTACTTATTGTAAGTATCATCGTCTCACCTTTTCCAAAATTTGTTTTCTTATATTTATTGAGTAAAGGGGATGCGCATGTCTAATCAATGTCTTTTAAAAGGTTAATATTAAAACCAAAAAATAATTATCCAACTCATTCTCTTCTTCGCAGCCTACAAGACCGTGTCTGGTGTGAACGGTCCCCTGGTCATCCTGGATGAGGTCAAGTTCCCCAAGTTTGCCGAGATCGTGCAGCTGCGCCTGGCTGACGGTACCGTGCGCTCCGGCCAGGTGCTTGAGGTGAGCGGCTCCAAGGCCGTGGTCCAGGTGTTCGAGGGCACCTCGGGCATCGATGCCAAGAACACGCTTTGCGAGTTCACTGGCGACATTCTGCGTACGCCCGTGTCGGAGGATATGTTGGGCCGTGTGTTCAACGGATCCGGCAAGCCCATCGACAAGGGACCCCCAATCCTGGCTGAGGATTTCCTGGACATTCAGGGCCAGCCCATCAACCCCTGGTCGCGTATCTACCCCGAGGAGATGATCCAGACCGGTATCTCGGCCATCGATGTGATGAACTCGATTGCCCGTGGCCAGAAGATCCCCATCTTCTCCGCCGCCGGTCTGCCCCACAACGAAATCGCCGCCCAGATCTGTCGTCAGGCCGGTCTCGTCAAGCTGCCGGGCAAGTCCGTGCTGGATGACCACACCGACAACTTCGCCATCGTGTTCGCCGCTATGGGTGTGAACATGGAGACTGCCCGATTCTTCAAGCAGGACTTCGAGGAGAACGGCTCCATGGAGAACGTGTGTCTGTTCTTGAACTTGGCCAACGATCCGACCATCGAGCGTATCATCACTCCCCGCCTGGCTCTGACTGCCGCCGAGTTCTTGGCCTATCAGTGCGAGAAGCACGTGCTGGTCATCCTTACCGACATGTCCTCGTACGCCGAGGCTCTGCGTGAGGTGTCTGCTGCCCGTGAGGAGGTGCCCGGCCGTCGTGGTTTCCCCGGTTACATGTACACCGATTTGGCCACCATCTACGAGCGTGCCGGTCGTGTGGAGGGACGCAACGGATCCATCACCCAGATCCCCATTCTGACCATGCCTAACGATGATATTACCCATCCCATTCCCGATTTGACCGGTTACATTACCGAGGGCCAGATCTACGTCGATCGTCAGCTGCACAACAGACAGATCTACCCACCAGTCAACGTGCTGCCATCGCTGTCGCGTCTGATGAAGTCTGCCATCGGCGAGGGCATGACCCGCAAGGATCACTCTGATGTGTCCAACCAGCTGTACGCTTGCTACGCCATCGGCAAGGACGTGCAGGCCATGAAGGCTGTGGTGGGTGAGGAGGCTCTGACGCCCGACGATCTGCTGTATCTGGAGTTCTTGACCAAGTTCGAGAAGAACTTCATCTCGCAGGTGAGTTGAACGTGGTGGATATTAAGTGGGCTTGCTTAAATCTTTCCCTTGTACTTGCAGGGCAACTACGAGAACCGCACTGTCTTCGAATCCCTGGACATCGGCTGGCAGCTGCTGCGTATCTTCCCCAAGGAGATGCTCAAGCGTATCCCGGCCTCCATCCTGGCCGAATTCTACCCTAGGGACTCGCGCCATTAGATTCTGTTTATTGTTTTGTTTTTGATTTTTGTCCAAAATTTTGTTTCATTCATAATTTAAGCTGGCGGCGGCGCAACGTGCGGCGCGTCTCCACCTCCTGCAATATCCGCTGTGTATGCGTCTATATATACATAAACCACAATACAACCACAAAATATCTAACCTACGTTGAGAGCCTGGATTTGTGTGCCTCGGAGCGACCCAGCGTAGCCAAACAATAACTAGTTAAATATCGTCCAAGCGAGCAAACCTACTCCAAAGTGTGTGTTTTAGTATTGAAGTCCCGTCTTGCAATGTACATAAATTGAATTGCCTAATGATTGTCCTTACTCCCGCCAACACACTGTAATTTCATTTGTTAAAGTTTACTATTTTTGTTAGGTTTTAAGTGTGTATGCTCTTTGAACTGTTTATAATTTCTCTAATCATTTTCGCATAAAGAATCGTAGCATTCCAACAAAAATTAACAATTGCCTATTTGTGTTGCCTTCGTTTGCTCCCCTGATGTTCTTACGTTAGACGTTTCACCAGTTCGCACAAGTATTAAACAATCCCCGCCCCCTATTTTCCGTACCGCCCCCCGTCCCTGCACCGAAACCTTGTGAACAATTTGTACAGCAACTCAACTAAACAATGGAATATTAAGTGCAAAAACAATGCTTTAATGCAAATAATGTTTTAAAAGTGCAAATCTGCAGAAAGTATAAAGATCTATAAAATAATACTGTTTGTTTTTCGTCTCTAAATTAATGAATATTACATAAAGTTGCATAAATTAATATATATTTGTTTGTTGTCTCTGGTCACAAGAGTGAATGGGGAAGTCCTCTATTATATGGCCCAATCATTTCCGCAACGACAACTTAACAACCATGAACAGAAGCCGAAACAATAAGTGTTGAAATAATATGTATTTAAAGAAACTAGTTCATGTATATGTATAAACTATAGAACATTTAAACGATGAATAAACTACACACGAAATCATGTTAAATAAAGTCATACATGCTTATTTCAATTGCGGGTAGTTTGATTGAAGTTATTTCTTTACTTTATTTTGTATTGCTTTTATTTATAAAGGCTTCACAAGGCGGGTGGGTTCTGGAAAAAATTAATTAACTTATGCAGCTGCATTGTATCTATATTACTTTGATTTTATTGTTCATCATACAGCATAATGCTTGATTTAGAGAACCAAAAGCTTTTTAGTTACCCTGTTTGACTTATCAAGAGCTTTCAGTTACAGTGGTTACTTTCTATGAAACGATTTAGAATATTGTGTACTGCTGTTACAAGAATTTGCGGAAAATTATATTAAAGAGATATCTTGGCCCACTGCCTAAAAACTTCTTCAATACTAATTGGTAATTCAGGAGCACTCCCCATTGACGCTACATAGTAAACCACCCAAATGCCCGTCCACTTAAGAGGCCTGGACAAGTTTCCCATTGACTTAGCAAATTTATGCAATTATGCCAAAGTTTTTAATGAGTTCTAAATGAAGTTAAAAATTCGGTTGACGCCAGTGGTTTTGATGGTGTAAAATACACCCGCTGGCAGAGCGACCGGCACGCCAAACAAAACTTTCTTTGGCTTTAACAAAAAAGAGAAAAACGAAAATGCCAAAGTTTCGGCCAATTGCTCGGACCTCCTTTGTTGTTCTATTTGGCTTAATTTCGGTAATCAAAGCGATGCTCGACGGGATGCCTTTGGTTGAAAACGGCAAGCTGCTTAGCTTTGCTGCAATTTAAGCGGCTTAAATAAAAAGGACGCATTGCAGAGACGCAATACAATGGGCGCTGGCCACGCCCCCTTGGAGGAGAGCTATCTGGGACAACTGGCCACCCTCTGCGCAAAGGATTCTTATCTGTATCTATCTAGACTGCAGCACTGTGGGCTTATGACAAGGCTGCTGATGGCCAATGTCAAAAGCTCCAGCTCAAGTGGGGCGGAAGTGGGCGTGCGAAGGGAGGGGGAGCACAAGGGGCAGGAGGAGGTGGAGCAGGGGGAGGAGCAGGAGCAGGAGCAGGTTGCAGTCCCGGTGCGAGCTCATTTCGAGACGTTTGTCTGGCATCATTATGAGGCCCAGCTCGTCAAAGTTCACGGTCATGGTCAATGCGAACTCGGCCCACTTGGCAGGCCGCCTGTCCTCTTTCCGCCTCACTCCTCACTCCTCCCTCCCCACCACTCTATACCCTTTATCCCCACACACATGTATGTATGTCGCCTCGTTTCCGGTCGATTTATGCGGCAGCAAGAAACCACTTAGAGATCTGGCTGCCTCCCAAGATGTCGCCTTTGCGGACAGGATGCGGTTGAAAATCGGTGCGATTAATGAACTCGCGCAAACGGTTCATTAATACGCGTTTGCGAAGCGTTTGAATGTGGATTTTAATGAGCCCACAGGCGGGTACACTGTAACAAACTTTTCGGCACTTCACGGAATCAGTAATCTGCAATGGTGCAATAAGATTCTCCACGGCATGCACATAGAAACACATATAGTCTTAAAATCAATAATACAACTTTGTAGAAACGTGGGTTTTAAAATTATTACCAAAATATATACTGCTGAAAATTAGAGAGTTGCACCCACTATTCTCCCCGTGCACACAGGCTGATGTAATACAAGTCATGAAAGGCCACAATCAGCAGGCAATGCCAAGGACTCGGCTTATCCCCATAGCTTGAGTGCTCGTCTCGATTAGGTGCGTAAGTGCGTAAATATGTGGGTTTCATAACCAACTCCTGGATGGCTTTGTAATTAATGTGCGCTTGTGGCGCCGAAAATGCGGCACCTAAATCATCTAATTAACTCATTAGCAATGAGTGCCAGTTCCATCTGCAGTCCAAAATCCTGCCGCCGTGGCTGGGATATTGATGGGCCAAGGAGTTGTCATGGACACGGCGGCATCCTCCACCTTCCGGCCGAGTGCCGACCGATTTAACACTTTGCCAAAGGTCCGGGTCAGGGTTAGGCTCCGGGTGAGGACTACCCATGTGTCAAGCGTCTGTCACCTAGGTCGAGTCGGGTCCGGCCTGCTCGCTCGTGCGTCTCATTCGATACACTGCCACCGTCCGGCTGACAGGCCCTCCGGAGAAGATGGGGGTCAGTACAGCCGTCCTCGTTTTGCCTCCGAAATGAAACTGAAATAGTTGGCTGGAACTTCGACCGGTCGGCCTGTTGGCCTGTCGTCCTGTCTGTGCCATAATTTGTGTGCCGGGGATTTGTGCATTGCTCGGATTTGGGACAGCTTAACTAAATAAATCACACAAAGGAGCCGGCAAGACAAGCCCACAAACTTGTCTGGCTTGACCCGGAGGCGATATTTTATAAAGGACCGCCCTTTCGGGGCGCTCGTCCTGTTGTTGTGCATTAAGCATTAAACAAATCGCCGCCGCCGCCGCCTGCCGCCAACAGCTTGATGGAGTTGCCCGCCCGGACGGAACTACAGATGGACCGACGGACGGACGCTGCAGGACATTTATCCTGCTACTTAGTTAAGCCCGGATCGCAGATAATTCGATGCGTCACGGCAGGCAAACATTGGCGGAATCTGGTAAATTGGTCCGGCGACTGGTGGGGCACCCATTCCGCAGCATAAGCATAAAAACAAATGGAGCACTGGATGTGCGTTTGTCCGCCTGAAATCGAATGGCTGCCTACTAAGGTGCACTGAAAAAAATATACGATTTCAAGTGATAGTAAAATGCTAAAGTGGCTGGAGATTTCACTGAAAATTGTAGATATATTAATAGATATTTATACTATGTTCATAAACTAATAGAGTATATCCAAATAAATTTTATAATATTATTTTAGGTTTAAAAACTGAACAAGAACAGCCAAATTCAATTGGTGCACCACACTTTTATGTGATTAGTACTATTTTAAGCACTTAATATATAGACTAATTAGCATCCATATTTTTTCAGTGTGCTCTCCCTATTTTCATTTGCTCTTTGGCTCCGACTCAGATTTCCGCCTTTGGATTCTGTGCCTAATTGTAGTTTGATTTTCATGCGTATCGAATGTTGGGCGGAAGGGGATAACTTTTGGGAGCAAACCAATCCGAGCAAGCCCAATTGTTGACGTCCCATGGAATTGAATGGCATCCCCAGATTATTTGGGCCCGTACGTGCTCCAATATCAAAGCGCAGAAGTTCGATATTAAAAGGCCACCCGGAGAGCAGGACACCTACTAATTGCGACCCTTTTGCTTATCAGTCAACCTCATTTCATTCCACATCCTCATTCAGCCATTCAAGCACAAAGGAAAAAAGGGTCAGACCTCTAAGCTCGGCCATTTCTTGGCTCTTTTAGCCTCTTTCTCGGACTTTAAAGCCCCGCATTAACTTGGCTAATTCATTGTTCGGTCTGACTTTTCCTCGGCTCACATTACGCTGGCTCCCTGTCAGCGGGTGTGTTGAATTTAATAGCCAGGTTTGACGAAAAACGAGTTGGTGGAGAAATCCGTGAAGAAAGAAAGCATTATGCCAAATTGGTCACAGCCACCGCCGTGGCACATGAATATTTATTTAACAATTTTCCCTTTTCCATTTTCCATTTGTTGGCTTTTGCTTTCGAGAGGGTGTCACGTCAATCAGGATCTCGTTTTTTGATGTTACCTCACTCGGCTCCCTGCCCCCTTCTTTCTGCTATCTGGCAGGATATGCAATTTTTGGCTTTTGTGTGCAGCTCGCTTTTGCCCTTTGCCCTTTGTTTTGCCTATAATGTGCATGTTTCGGCCAGGACACATGTGTTGCCGTGCTACAGTGTTTCGGCCCAGCCCCATGCGGCGTATACGTGATGTGTGCCGAGTGCCGGGTGCGGGGCAAATGCAATTCGGTAGTTTCAATAGAGTTGCTCTCAACGACCCAATGACAGTTTGATTGTGTTCCTGCAAATGGAAGTTGGTTTGCTGCCTTTTCCGGCAAATGTACGCACTTTAGCGTGCGATGTGCCAGCCTTCGAGTTAAATCTATTGGCCCCCAAACATAGTTGAATCGAATTGGAAATCGCAGGCTGGAGGCGCTCCATCCGCCGTCATAAAGTAGATTAAGTGCGCGCTCAAAGACACGCAGTCGAGCTTGCTAAATTACCATAATTTGGATTGCCGAGTTACTTGGCAGCCACACACACATATTCTCGAGATGCTGCAAGTACATATACTCAGATTGTGAGTTTGGCAAGGTGGGTGGGCCAAGTGGGGTGGTGTGGGGTGGTGTGGGCGGTATTTTAGGGGGTCGGAAGCGAACATCAAATTGCAAATTGCGCGTACTAACTTGCAACATAAACTCGTTTATGCGACAGCCTGTGCGCGGAGTTGATGGCGCGGGTGGGGCTGTTTTCTGCCACATGTGAGTCATACATTTCACATACGAGTACAACATTTTACGGGCACGCCGTACTCTGCTTAGTTCACTTGGCTGACTGGGCTGACTTGGCCCTGTCAGCTCTGCTTTGGCAAGAATGTATGCAAATTGCAGTTACATGTCGAAAATTTGCATTTGCCGCGCACCGTTATGAATAAATCACGCTCATAATGCACTTGATGCTCTCCAGAGCAATCGATGCCATGAAGGCACTCACTCATCCGGGAATCTTCAGCCGCTTCCGCAGCAGCATCCGCAGCAGCATCTCCACCAGCATCCGCAAGATGCCAAAACAGCCAGCCAGGGAAAACCGAGTTTTCCATTAAACATATTAAAAATGATCAGAAAAAATAGGAGGAAAATATGACAGGTACGCGCCTTCAAATTACTTCCGCGCAAGCAGCGGAAACGGAAGTTGGCGCACGGCCAGGGATTTGCTCCCCACTCCTTGGCCAATGAAATTTCAATAGGTTAATATAAATTGCAAATTACATTAAACAGATTATGGAGCACTCGCTCGCATTCAATAGACAGCCTCCTTGAACGCTCCTCCTGCGCCTCCTGCGCCTCCTGCGCCGCCTTCAGATCCTTCGGCACAAGTGCTGTTAATTATTTGTCACTTAAGAGCTCGACACATGCGAC